ATGTTCTGCTTCTTGTATCAAGTTCAAGTCAGCTGGTTGAAGAGGAATTTAGGCAGAGGAAAGAGGAAGTTCTTCTCTGACCTTTGAGTAACTCCAAAAAAGTATTCTGCTGCTACACCGTTTTGCACAAACAGGATCATTGGCTATCCTTCCTCCTTTTTTTTTTTGGAAAAGACACTCCGCTTCCACTGTCCTTCCTTGCACTGGAGGAGGTCCAGCTGTGGAGCAGAGCGGGAGAGGAGATCTCATGAGTCCTCATACTAGCCTGCTTTTTTCTCTATATATGGAGTGGCACAGGATTAGCAGAAAGGATCCTTACTGGTCATGGGTTCCACTTCTTATACTGATGAAACCTGTAGGTGGGGTCCTCCCACCTGTCTGGAGTGAGCTGAACCTTTGGGTCTGGCCTTTGGGCTACTAGATCATTGTCCAGAAGTGAGAGCCTAACTCTGCTTTCTGTGAAACCTGTCAGCCTTAGCGTGTCTGTTGTGCCTCTCGAAGACATCTTTTGTGTAGCACTACAAACAAAGAAAGATTTCTGTCTGTGTTATCCTTGGTCCAAGGCACCAAGTTCCACAGAAATTCTTTTTCCCTGTTTGATCTTGGGGATACCCAGAGAGAAGAAGGCAACAAAGCTGGTGAAAGGGCTGGAACGAATGTCCTATGAGGAGCTGCTAAGGACCCTGGGCTTGTCTAGTTTGGAGAGAAGGAGGCTGAGGGGTAACCTCATCGCTCTCTGCAGCTTCCTGAGGAGGTAATTGGAGAGGGAGGTGCTGAGCTTTTCTCCCTGGTATCCACTGATCGGACGCATGGGAACGGTTCATAGCTGTGTCAAGGGAGGTTCAGACTTGACATTAGGAAGCATTTCCCTACCAAGAGGTTGGTCAAACACTGGAACAGGCTTCCTAGAGAGGTGGTCGATGCCCCAAGCCTGTCAGTGTTTAAGAGGCAGTTGGACAATGCCCTTAATAGCATGCTTTAACTTGAGGTCAGCCCTGAATTGGCGAGGCAGTTGGACTAGATGATGGTTATAGGTCCCTTCCAACTGAAAAAATCTATTCTATTCTAGTATTTTGCATCAAATTTTCCAGGTCCTTGAATATTGAGTGATGTTACAAGACTCATTAAAACCTACCCCTCAAGAAAAATATGTAGTTAATATCCACCTGTCTGCTCTAATCACTCATGTATTGCATATTGTCTCCATGTGTTTCTTTGCTGTTTCAGGGTGTGAGTTCAAAAGAGCAGTGACTGCCTCTTGTCATACATATATACAATGCCTCGTATCACACAAGATTATAAAAACAGGGCTCATATATTGCCTCTCTCAAAATGTCCTGAGAAGATATTTTTTAATACGCTGCAGTGCATTGACATCCTCACTGGACAAAACTGACTGTGTTCTGGGATTAGGAGCAACACAGCTACACCATGTTAGGACCAAGGCCTGCTGAGAATCTGGGTCCATCCGCTCAGGCAACATAGCTACATTGCTGTGAGCTCTGAACTAAAGTGAGCATCATGAAGAGCTCATTGAACATGAGAACATTGATGAACATGAGAGCTTGGGGAATCACTCCACTGTAATCCACACCAGGATGGGAACGTACCAGAAATGGCTTTGGTTTGTGGCTTGGATAAAGAAATTGTGAGCCTTGCGGTCTAAGGTGGTCAGGGATCTCTGAAAAGTTTTGTCATCATACCTCTCACTGTTTGGTATGGAGCCACAATAGCTTCAATCAGGCGCCCATCGCACTCGTACCTTTAGGAAGTTGGTGGCTGGGGAGCCTCATGGCCTGAGTGAACCATCGATGGCATCAAGGCAGCACAGCCCTTTACCATCATACTGAAAGAGGAAGGGGGACAGCAGTGGAGCGCCAAGTTGACAAATAGACCTAAAATATATCAAACACTCAGCGTAAGCGACTGTTCACCAGGTGCAATGTGACTGCATGAGATGCTGTGCTTTGGAAGAGGAAGTGGCTGATGTTAGAGAGACCATGGGAATTTTTCAATAAAGCCCCTGCCTGTACTTTCATCACTGCTTGTTTCTACGATTAGATTTGACACAGCTGCTGCTTGCGGGGCTTTTCTTTGAAGAGTTAGAAAATCCTAAAGCTGTCATTTTAGTGAGTGATCCTCTACTCTTCTATAAATTATCTGGACTTCTATATATATTGCTGACTCCATGCAGGGCATTATTATCTAATTTCCCAGGGAACATCTCTAATCACACTCTACCCGCCCATGTCAATCTAGGACACATCCAAGACTTAGAAATAGCAGTGGAGAAATCATAAAATGTTCTAACACATGGAGTTGGCAGACAAGTGCGAGACAAGATCACAAACTATGCAAAATGAACAGTTTGCATGTGAACGTGCTTCTCTCTTTCCCCCATCAAAGTGCTGGCTGAGTATCTTACGATGACTTCAAATTAACACACTAGCCTTCTTTCTTTTCTTTTTTTTTTCCTTTAAAATAAATTTCCCTTTAATCAGAGCTGCCTACTTTACAGTAACATAGTTACCTGCAGTGGATCATCTTCTGTTGCATGACCAAAGGGGTCTCTTTTTTTTCATCAGGAATTCATAAACAGTTTCCCAGTCGAAACAGGTCTGAGTGTGATGTCAGAACGGGTGTTGGTTTAAGTCTGCTGTGGAACAATTGCAAGACCTAATTATAACCTCTTCACACGAGCAAACAGTGAAGGAGAATAGAGGTCAGGAAGAACTGGATGGTTCTGTTCACCTTTATCTTAATCGAACTCACCATTCAGGAAATGGATCGTGAATGCCAGGTAAATGGTTTTCTTCATTTCTGGGTTGGCCTTAATATATACGCCTTCCTTGAAAAGGCTATCCATTGCATAAGAGTCTAACTGCAAAGTGTACATTTGTGATAAGTGTAAGTTTGTGATAAGCCGATGTATCATTTTATGCTGGAGAGGGTATTTTATGAGGACTTTTGGGGGTGGTTCTCTAAGTTTGTTCAGTTAAAAAGGAAGCAAAAGAAAAAAAGAAAATTGAAGAACAGTGTTGTCTGGTAGGCCACACAGGTAAGACACACAGCAGGCTCTTCCTGTACACCACGTATATGACTTACGAACACCAGCCTGCATTGTCTGGCTGAATACAGAAGTACGTCATATTCAGCCGAGGCCAACATACAGCACTGGCAACATTCCAGGTATACAGGCTCATGCAAACAAGGTGATAAATATAGGGCTGATGTTGGTTGCCTTTGCTGTTACTTACTATTTGTGGAGTAACCTTAAGTGAAGTAGGAGAAAACTTTTTATTGCAGCAGTGGTTAGGACTTCTCAGGTGTTTCCAGGTTTTTACCCTAGCCATTAGGCAGAAGTTTGCATTCCCTGTCACGTACCAGCCTGGATACTATTTAAACTGTACAGGTACCAATGAGATTAGCACTTCTCAGAAAGTCCTATTACCTAGCAGTCAGGGTATCACAGTTGTCAATATATGGATTCAAAATTTGAAGATCTGCGACTCTCATGTTTTATTTTTTTAATTTTAGGAGTGCCATAACATGCAATCATTATGTAAAGATAAGGTTGCCACATTTGAGAGAAAGTTCTGGCATACATGCACAATTCCAGGAAAAAGTTAAATGTTTGTGACCGCTAACAAGCACTTCAGCTTCAGCAAAAGGATGTTATCTGCTGAAATAAGTGGGTCATAAGCCTGTAAGTCTCCATCCTTGGAGATACTCAAATACCAACTGGGCATGGTCCTGGGCAAGCTGCTCTAGGTGGTCCTGCTTGAGCAAAAGAGTTGGACCAGATGACCTCCAGAGATCACTTCCAACCTCAGCCATCCATGCTCTAGGCTTGCTTCAGCAGCTTTAAGCCACAACATTCCAGATCCATAATTCTAATTTTAGAGGTTCCCTTGCATTGTTTAGGGGACACATGTAGCACTCAGGCCTGCGGGTAACACTTAAGAGTCAGAAAAGTACTCAAACCACTCAATATGTGGCAAAGGAACACTTTGTTTTTATGTTCTCTGGGGATTTTTTGGTTTGGTTTTGGTTTTTGGGTTTGTTTTTTTTTTTTGCAGGGGCAGGTTTGTTTTTAATGGGGAAGCTTTTCAAAGGAGCAGATTTGACTGAGTTTTCTGAAGATGTTTGTATGTACTCTGAGAAGACTTCATTCCCACCTCACACATTCCAAGATCTCAGGAGTTTCAGAACCTAGCCTGCCCAGATGATATCTTATAAATTACAAATTGATCCCTGATGGGGTAGGAAGCTCGTAATAAATTGCCTTAAAAACTAGGACCAGTATCCAATGAGATGAGAGCTTTTCTCCCAACAGCCAGAAGCCTGAGAAGGAGGGTAGCCTATTACAGTGTTGTTTGGATCCTGTGTATTTAAAACAAATTTGTACTTGGGTATCTATTGTGTATGTGTTCATGAAAACACAAGAAATCAGCTAGCAAGGATCAAGTAAGGAAAGTTATTGGAAGCTATTGTCTGCTCAGCAATATTTCTGTTGAAAAAGTTTTCCGTTGAAATAATTTATATGATACAATATTGTGAGGCTAAAAACCAAATGCTGGGAACATGGTCTTGAAAGATTTGGTCTGGTTGAAGAAATGGATTAAATACATGTTCTGCATAAAGATGAGGCACCTTGCTTTTGGACTGTCACATATGGGCAATGTCTAAGCAACCGATTTGGAGAAGTCCGTTCTTCAGTACGACTTTTTTGAAAATTCTTGGGAGGAGTTCTTTTATTGTGCAGTCAAATTTGATGATAATTTGTAGTACTTGCACAAAACTAACTCTTCCTTCTGCTGCTTTGAGAGCTACTTCGAAAATTTCCTAACATATCCATATAGGTTTCCATTCATCTTCAGTATCATTGAAACCAATTCCCAATACACCACACGTTTAGTAATTATGTTTAATATGCAACAACGCAAACAGATTAGTGACTCCTTTCCTGAATTAAAATAACTGCATAGAAGCAAAAATATAAGTATAGATTTATTAGAGAAGTTATCTAAAATACAATATTATTTTCCTCTTTAAATTAGAGCATATATTATTTCAATGAAAAGATATTTTCTATTATTTCTACGGTAATAACAACTTTTAAAGATAATACTTAACTTCGGACATTTTTAATTAAAAAAATCCAACACTACCATTAAGACAAAATCAAGGTTGTTGATAGCATGGGTAAAAATGTAAATCAGTCTCAAAAATATTTACATGTCAGTTTCTTAAAATCTAAGAAGTCTAATTCTCAATAGTCATTTTGCTTTACTTTCTCAAAATACTTTTTTTTTCCTAAATCATACCTAGATTCTGTATTCCTGTGCTTTTCACAAAGCTTCAAGTTATCGTTAGTTATGTGTACTATCACACCAGCTGATGAGGTTTCTTAAAATGGCTTATTTTGCTTTGACCATATCCTCTCCCAAGTAGCCAATACACTGTTATACCAAAGTGTCAGTAGCAGTAATAGTCACCAAAATGCACACAGCAACCACCACCCCGTGCTTCCCCCAACCCCACACCTTAAGAACCCTTTCCTATTTGGCCAAGAGCCTTTCACATCTCCTTAGCTGGCATTTTAGACGCAGAGCAAAAGAAAGAATGGATCTGGGAGACAAGATGTTGCCAGGGCACACAAGGCAAAGGTTTGATTTGTGCTTAGCAAAAAGGGCTCCTCACAAACACGGCGATTTCTAACACACTCAGCGCTGAGGTTACTGGAAGGAAGCTCTGACTTCTCTGCTCTTCAGAGGCTGACATGGGCGCCAGTTGTCGACCATATGGCACACGGGCTCATTCTCAGCACTGAAGCAAAGGCCACGGATTTTGCACATCTGTGGAAAAAGGCACAAACATCCTCAAATACATACTCTTGTTTCAGCAGACACCTGGGGCCTGAGCCAGAGGTCCAACTCAGTTTTGCCAGCACTAACGGTTTAGAGATGGTGTCACCACCCCTGTGTGTCTGCATTTCATCCACACCATTTCCTGTCCCTGACACACGCTCTCCTGTCCACAAAATACCCTACTAAAAAGAACTAAGAAAGCACAGAAAACAAAGACATAGGCACACATTTTCCAAACTCCATGCATGAAGAGCTGTTTGTCCTTGATCCAGATCTGAATTGAAACGCTTTCAGAATCCTTTGCAAGTTGCACTGGTTTGGATCTTTTTAAAGTTGGTTTTTTTTGTATCCAGTTGATATTAAAAAAAAAAAAAATTGACCTTACCCTTGGGTCAAATTAAAGCACCCAAACTCATTCAAGATATCTTGATTTTCAAATACTGTGAGAAGGAACTGTTCCACATCCACATGAGCACACTGTAAGGTTTTAGTGATTGTTCCTAAATTAAAATTGGTGCTTGCACAGTCTGATGTACTAAAACCACCTTGATGCCTAAGTGGGTATCTCCAAAACTAATAAAAAGACTATGCCAAAATAATAACCCACCCCAAATGTGATCTCGCAAAGACAGCTGGAACTGCCAACAGAAGGTGGGATACAGGATTTCATACGAGTCAGGCTGCAGGGCAGGCCTTCCCTCATTTGAGGTGAAAGGCCCCCACCATGACCAGCCCAGGAGAAGACTTTACCTTCAGGACCAACCAGAACAAAGTTCAGAGCTCTACCTCTGCTGAGAACAGCTGTGTCACAACAACCAATGATAGCAGGCTTGCTACACCCTGCTTTAATAGCCACCTTTTCCCCGCCTTTGGAAAACCAATTCAACTTAAACCCAGTGTCAATACTGTGCTTTATGGTTTCTTGTTTTGATCAGTTTTGGAATAAAAAAACAAGCTGCCACACACACTGTTTTGATCTCAAATCCATCTTTCAAATGACAATGGTAACATGGAGAGGGGTGTGTGGGAGAAACAAGTGGTGTCTTTTACCACTTGTAGGTGGTTCAAGTAGGTGTAGTAGGAAAAACAACTCTATTTTGACGAATGTGCTCCTGCCCTACAATAAAACCGTATTTGCAAACTTTGGGCTATCAGTAGCAATACCAGTAGCTTAGAATAAGTAAACAGTGTTAACTTTAAGGCCCCCTTGCAGTTTATTGATGGTAATCATTGATACAATTATTAGTTCCAATAGTTCTTGTCATTTATTCTATCTTTTATTACATTAAGTTCCACAACTGCTCAGTTGCACTTTTTTCCGCTAGAATTATGTGTATACTGTTAGCATGTCTGCCATTGATAAAAGGGATTTAAAAGTTTGAAGGATAAACTAAGTCCTTCAGGGCTAGCTTATATTTATAGCTCTAGATTCTATTTATATCTCCCAAGCACACAGATGAGAACCCAAGGATGGAATCTTGTCTCTATGTAATTTCACTAATGGATGGTGCAGAAAGTTAGGGCCAGGAGTGATTTAACTGGCACGAGCTCCTTCCTGCTCGGAAGACTCTATCCTCCTCAAGCTCCTCAACAGAACAGAGGATTTCTTCAGGCAGACTTATGGAATCTAGAAGTTTTCTCTCTTCCAAAAAATGCAGTTTTGTTAGGATTGTCACAATTCTGCGTGGGATTTCCCAGTTTGTTCTTTGTTGACAAGAACTTATAAAATGAGCTCTGTGTCCTGGAAATGCTGGAAGATCAACAAACCAACTACAGATTTATGAGGGGAGACTGCAGATGCAGAATACACGCTCTTCAGATGCTTGGTGAACCCAGTATTTTCAGGGCAAGTATACCCAGACAAGTGATTTGTGTATGTGCAGCAAACCTGCTGCCACTCACAATACACACTAGACTAACTCTGCATGTGCAAATGGTCCCTTCATGCATGCTACAAATTTCCCAGATTTTTACCACACGGCAGCTCTAACCATGTACCTGGAAAACCTGATTAGATTTTTAAAACACTCCAAATTTTCCCTGGACTGTATCCAAATGGAGGACAGCCTTACATTTTACAGCAAACTCTACCTCCACACATACAAGGAAAGTCTTGCCAGAAGAGGATAACCACTTCAGATACATACTTTTGACATGTGATGCTAGCTAATACCCTGAATAGCTCTGCAGTAACAAACTGCCACTTCAAAGATCACCAGGCGGGTTAACTGAAGCAATCAATGTAACTCCAGTACATATCTACTTGCACCATCCATTGCAGACCTACCTGCTCGGGGCTGATGGTGATGGGCTCCTTCAGAACGTGCCAGATCACACATTCAAGCAGTGGAGGAGTGGTCAGCGAGCCAGGGTATGTCCAATAATCTCTGCACGCAGGAAGCAGTCCAGTGGGGTCAAAGTTTGTGAAGGAAGCTTGCTTCCCCTACAATAAACAAAGTAGATGGGCTAACGTCAGGGGAGAGACACTGTGCTTGAAGTAGTAAAGTCTCCTACGGGAAGGTCTGTGTTTGGAGAAAAGCAGAAATGGAGTTTGGCATGATGTGTTCAGTGCCTTCTACAGTACATTTGGGATTAAAGACTTTCAGCATTATATTTCTTGTAAGACTTTCAAGATATTGTTTCTCATTTCAAATTTTGAGTTTATGTTCCTTGCACCTAGAGATACGATTTGACCTTGCTTGAAGGAACAGAGATTTCAGATGCCATGTACATTGATCGCATTGGAAATATAGAACCCAAGAGACCTGTTGGAGAGTTCATTGGAGTAAATGGCAATATCCATTTACCTCAAAGGGAGCCTGATGATTAAAGATGTCAGTGTAGTCTCATTCTTTAACTCTCCTGTCCACATTTCTCATTGGCACAGGCCTTTACCCACTATAAAGGCACCTAATTACTCAGCAAGTACTTTTAGTTTCTTATTACTCTGCTCATTAAGATCACACATGCTTCACACGATATTTAAAATACAGAAAGGCTTTTTTTTCCCCCCAAGAGTTATATATCCTGATCAAACTTCTTATCTAGACTCTAGAAATAGCCAAGAGAAGCATGCCCTCTTGGAGGAAGGAAATTTATCCCACAGGTGCAGAGATGAGAAGTGCCTTTTGCATCTGCTACCACTGACTAGAAAGGGCACCTAGAAGAGTAGTTCAGATTAGGAGGATGAATCCTACCCTATAGGTTTAAATGCAGTTAAAAGAGAGAAATACAGTCACAGAGATACAAAATGATCGCCATTTCTTGTATTCCCTGCCCTCTACCACAACTTCATTCAAGTCTCTTTTGCATTTAGGATTACAGGAGCAGCAGTGATGATGGCAGGAAGGTTTGTTTCATTTTCATCCATGCAGCAGACTGGGAAGAAGTAAAAAAATACACTTTCTGAAGAAGACAACACAGCACAGTTGTGATTGTTGTCCGTCAACAGAGACCACAAATATTACCTTGGTTTGAATGGAGTTCAGAGCGTCCACAACTTTCTGTATTTCAGGCTTGGCATTTCCTACCTGTAACGCAAACCAATTGAAAAGACAATAACCACGGGCTCTTATGATACCTATAGTTTTCTGTTACAGTTCTCAAGGAAACATTTTCCTAGCCCCATTTCATTACATAACAGGAGTATTACAGCAAAAGTGACTGGACCATGACAATTGACAGTCAGCACAAATGGGTCAGCCAAGGACAGTGGACAGAATAAAGTTATTTTCATTTACAGTGTGTGAATTTATTTTTGGACTTGATCTGTTCTTTTTTCATAGGAGTCACCCTCCCAATAAAATACAGTGAGGGCAGGACAGTGTGCACACTGCTGGGGCACAGTCACCTTCTCCAACTAGCTGTGAAGACAATGCAACTAACAGAAAAAGCTCTGGACATTTAACAATGGGAGGAAAATAGGTTTTATTTAGGCTGGTTCTACTGCAGATTCATACATGCATAACTTTGTCAGTTATGAACATCACCTTTCACTGATAAAGAGTTACACCAGTGTCACTGTCATGATGAAGCCGAGTATGCTGCTATAGGGCTGCCACAGTGATGGATGGCTGTCATACTTTGTGGCTGGTGTACAATTTTTATACGTAGAAAAAGCCAAGAATTTGGAGCACCACCTAGTTTGCTATGGGTTTAGGCAGTACAATATAATGATGCCTTATTCTATATTTTAGGCTCTTAGGTGCCCCTGCAACACAATGAACATATTGGACTAATCTAAATAATACAAAAGAAAGAGTTTTACTAACCTTCATGAAGATGCCTACCACAGCCAAACCATCAGGATGCTTCACAGCTTCAGCAAATTTACCATATTTTACATTCCAGTGAACAATATGGAGCTAGGAGCAAGAAAACAAGAAGCACTATGAAGATGATATTCCATCCACAATATTTTACAAATTAGGATGCAGGGAAGTAATTTATTAAACATTAAGAGCAGATGGTGTTTTACTGCAGAGATTTAAAAGCTTTTGTGTACAGTTAAGAATTTGTTGAATCGTTCATCTACTTTCAAGTATCATTTATGCAAAGAGGTTTCTGTCATGCATTTTATTTTGCTTCTCACTCTTACTCCCAGATGAGTTTTAAATGCAAACTGTGGCTGTGTCATTCTGCTTTTAGTCTGGTAAAATTCTGCAATCTTCAGCATGAGTTTTTCCTGCATGTAGCCTGCAGGAAAATGGATTAATGCTATATATCCTAGAGTTCTTACCAACACTGAAACACATGATTGTCAGTGTCAGAAGAATACACGTTAACTACAGATGTGACCTGTAATGTAGAGAGTTTTTAAAAACAGTCCTGTCCTTTTCTGAAAAGCCTTTGAAAAGAATATGAAATGAATCTCCAGGTCACATTAGCCAGGATGTTGCTTTCTTTTTATTTCCAAGTTATTTCTAATTTAAGTTCATCTGGCTGTTTCCACTATATCTGCAAGTCAAGTTGAGCAAGTAATTCCGGTACTGTGAACAGATGTAAGGCAATGGCAAGTTTCTCAGATAAGACAAAAGCTACTTCTATCTCACAAAAAAGCACCAAAGCCAATGAATCTGTAGGGCCATTTATTTTATCTGTCAATGCAATTAAGAGGTATGTTCAGTCAACACGTACTTATGAAAGGGTTAAAAAAGTGTGTCACAGCATCAAGAGCTAGATTTCTAAAGAGGTAACAAGGAAAGGTGGGATGCAAAGCACTGAAGTCACCCCAATTCTGTAGTGAGACAAGTGGTCCAAGGGACATCTGGAGCCTTAACGATATTACAGCGTGCCTGCAAGGTCTCATGTTGCTACCTGCCTTCTTCACGTCTCCCCTTGCTTCTTTGCTACCAAAAGATGAAAAGGTCTACCCCAAAATTATTCTGTTGTTTATATAAATGTCTCTGATGCTAAAAATTGAACCCAGGAAAAGGGGATGTGTGTGTACAGAGGTGCTGCAATTCTATTTCTACATAATTTTTAAGAGTCATCGAGAAAGCAGGGGAAAACTAGGGATACTTAATGTGGGTTTTTCTGCTTCCGTAGTCTCTTTGACATGAAGTAGCTGAGAAAAAAAAAATATTACAAGAGTCCTCCAATTCTAATCTCTGCTCTTACAAGGGGTAAGTCCTGGGTTGGCACTATACCAAAAATCTTCTATAATCCTTTGCCCTATGAAGATCTGTAGAGAAGCTGCTACTGTGGTGGAATATTTAAAAAAAAGTATAAAACACTCATTATACACAAATGACTGGAGAAGGTAAAGCATGTCCTACCTCTGCATCATACTTCACACCATCCACAGTGTGCTCAGACCCCTGGCCCTCACAGGATCCCCAGTGAATGTGAAACTGTGCCAGCCTGTAGACTCCATCCAGTGCTCCTCCTTGCAGCACTGCAAAGCAAAGAGCCTCTATTAGCATCTCCCATAACCTTTGTTATTGAGTTTCACTTCAAACTGGAACGTCCATCTCAAGTCTTCCACGTGAATTACAGCTCATTGCTCTACATGCTGCCATGCTACTCCAGATCATCTTCAAAGGTACATTGCTGCAATATGCCAAAATCAATAATAAATGTATAAAAACATAAGTGACTTTACAGTGAGCATCTCATCAGCAATTTAACAGGCATGCTAATATTACAGGTGACAAGGGGAGAGCTAAGGATGTAACTTTTCTGTCACCAAACACATAAAAAAACCACCAAGAAGAACAGCTTTTGTAAGAGGCCCATACAGAGTTATTCGATGGAAATACATTTGAAGACCAAATCATCTTTCACTTACTAATGCACTATGTCCCTTCATTTTAGATACTTTATCCATTTAGGCCTTAATCCTGCAAATCCTGTGGCAGACTGGATTGAGTAAAATGCTTTTGGTTCCAAATTAAACCTAAACATCTGTTAGCCATGGGCTGCAGAAAGGTAAAGCACTAGACACAGTGCAAGGCATTGCAGAGATGTGAATTCAAATCTCTTGTCCCTCCCATCCCTTACTCCTCAAGAAGGAGTTTTAAAAATGGTGGTGAAAATGGCAATGCCTGCAGAGACAGATTTTTTTAAAAAATACAGATTGGAAATGAGGCATTTACTTATGCTCTCCACTCTCTGACATTACTCCTGCTATGGGACTGCTGTAAGTGGAGTGCCCAGCCACACTTTCAATTATACAGCAGCAAGCTCCCCTGAGCTCCCTTATTCTGCCTGTTAGTTTTAACCTTGCACTTAAACTGTGAGCAATCACCATTATGATATGCAGGATCAAGCCCTATTGCTGCAAAATGCTCAAGGCACAGACAATGTCTCCTCCAGTGCTGTATAAAGCACAGAACAATAGCAAATAGTTCTATTAAATGGAGCTATTTATCTAAGTTATTAGACCAAGGTTTCACACTGGTCTGTGGTTTGTTTTGGTTTTTTTCTTAAGCATCTCAAATTCACAACTAAATCTTCTAAAATGTTAATACTTAAAAAATACTTTAAAATGTAATTTGAAATGTTATATATCTTAGAGATCAATCTCTCTACATATATACATAAACATATATATGCAATAAAGTGACAGAAGAGTGTTGACATCAGATATTACATGTAAGTGTGCTCTGTGTATGAGCCACAAACATGGAGTTCTGGGGAGTAAGGATACTTTCCTCTCAGTCTGCAATTAGTCTAAACACTATCAAAACACGTGCACATGTGAAAATACACATCAAATGCAGGTATGAAAAGGTCACTGTCTGTTCAGGTTTGAATAATTCTAATTATATGCAAGCACGGCCAAGAAGAGCCGTGGATACTTGGCAATGAGGTGAGAAGGATTTGACTAAAAAACTGGAACACATGAAAATTAAATATCAGATATATATAAAAAACACATTAGTTTCCACTGGTGTTCCTTACACAGACAAATTTGGGGTCAGTGGACAAATTTAGCATTTCCCTGGGGCTCCTTTGGTAAATATATTTAGAAATCTCCCAACATGTATTTCTATTTTAAAAATGTGAATATGAGTTCCACAGCAGTCTTTGTAATTTCCAATACTGTAGCCAACACTGAACAGCCAACAGACCAAGACTCGCCCTACCTACTGCCAAGCTATGTGATATAAAGAAGAATGGCTACTTAAAGTAAGTAAACAGGAACACATCTTATTCTACTTTTACATTTCTGCATGTGCTAGTTGCCAAGAAGCATAACTGTTTCAAGCACAGGACCACAAATCAGAATACTTTTTTTCAGAACAGCAACTGTAACCGCACATTAGGTCCTTTTGAATATAAATAATTGGTTGCTATGTCTTTATAGATGCAAAATCATTTAATCCACACAATATCACGTTTCTTGTAAAAATGATGCCATGGAGTTGCAATGTTTCAGTTTCAGTTCCTTTGGCTAATGGACTTGCTGCTTGTTGCAGGTACAAACGGACTGAGGTTCCATCATTCCTCAACCTCAGAAAGTACTAGCGTAGCACAGGTTAATCCAGCATTATTAATCAATGGAAAGCATGCTGAAAAGCAGAACCATGCAATCTTCTTAAACCCATCTGCAGTGTTATTTCTCTACACAAAGTTTGCTATAGTCTCATAAAACTCAGAAAGATGCACAAAAATCTCTTTGCGGTTTTTGCTTACTTTTCTCATTCTGTGGTTCTCAAATCCAGCACTAGCTTATTTTGACTCACAGCAGAGCATTCAAAGAAAGTAATAATTAGATTAGTGTGAATGAATACAAATTCAGCAGGCTTAATTACAGAACAGCCCTTCTCATTCTAGCCTACATTAAGCAGTTATTTTTTTTTAATACTTCTGAGCCTTTCCAAAGAAGTAAAATTTAAACTTAAACTTAAAAGGCAAAGTAGAAATGTTACAGCTTCATTTTTTTCCAGCACAAGCTTTTTAAACCATGAATAAATGCCACCAGCTTTTGCAAAGTAAAAGAGAATTGGAGCAACAGTCACACTGGAAACTTCCCTGTCCTTGTCCCATGTGATGCGAACATCGATTCAGGCCACATTGCTGCTAGAAGTCTAACCTTTCAATCCCCCCTCACTGTTCTACGTAAAGGCAAGTCACCCGGTAGTTACCTTTCCCATGTAGAACAGAACAGCTTTGTAAAAAATACTGTGGACCACTTTATAACTTTTTTTCAGAAGTGGCAGTGACCACATATGTGAATTTTTGCAGGAATACTGGGGAATTGCTGTTATTTAGTTACCTCCTATGGGACGTTCGCAGGAGACTAATAAATCTCATCATCACAATAAACCTGCCAAAGAAATAATTGAAACAGCTGAACTACAAGATTGGTTCATGAGTTAGAATGAATTCCTTCCTGTCATACAAATTAGTGTGGTGAGAAAAATACTGCTCTAAAGTTTGTTACTCTGAGAAAATGCAGAAGGAGAAAATGTTCTTCAAATGGAAATCACTGACAGCAAAGCTCCTTCTAGTAGCTGAAATAATGGGTCCACTACAGCACAATAAAGCTCCAAACTTCAGAAATGTACTTAAAATTGAGATTCCACCAAACAAAAACCTATCAGCAAGGAAATTTCAAGCATCTGCCTTTGAGGACAGCCCTCTTGCACACATTGCTTTGGCATAAAGCAAGCCATGGTTTTGTATCAGCCTGCAGTAGATGTGCACATGTATATGACATTGTAGGTATGTATGTAAATACACGCATACCATATACACTAATGTTAATGTTTTATAAGCCTTTGTGTATACACAGACATCTGTATGATGATAGAAAACAGGCCTTGAGGAGAGAAAGTAGATGAAGCATTACTCGAGAAAAAAATATCATGAGCACTATGCACTATTAATGGCACAAAAAAAGCTCTTATGAGGATGCTCAGGGATTAGCCCTGTGTTCTTATGCAAGGATGGGCTTCCCCATCTGACAGACTGAAGAGTTCAGTTAGGGTGAGCTGCCACTTCTGTGAAATGTGGAGTACAGAGCTCCACATTTTGTGAGATGTTTCCTTCTTTGTGTTATCTCTTTCAGACATTCCTCTTAGGATGCTGTATCATGACAAGCAAGAGAGCAAGACAGCATGCACACATCTGACTGCAGGGATCATACTTGCAGAAAATATCTGTAATGGGTTTCACCAAGAAAAAAAATACCTAATTGGTATCTCATAAGACAAAAACCCTACTCTGACCTTGCTAGAGGGTTAGCCTGATAAGGCAACAAGGATGTTCCACAGAGATAGACCAGAATAAAACATTTGACAAAAAGCTGCAGGTCTGCAGACATCTGTATCAGCAGCAGGTCAGTGATTCTGATTCACCTCAGCTGAACTATTTCATCCAGGCTGGGTAGCAGCCAGAGAGACTCTGATCTGCTTAAGGATACAAAGTTATTTAGGTTCTTAAATTTCTTCCCACTCCCTGGGACAAGTGGAGTTTATTTCTCATGTAGTCTCTTAGATGGAGATCTCTGAGAGTCGTAAGGTGCTGTACTGAGTCCCTGATCAGCCTTCAATTCTCATCTTCCAAACAGTAAGAGCTGACAGTGACTCCATAAGAACTGAATTGGAAGCGCTAAAATTCTCTTAAGAGTAACAATTGGTTTAATTTCTCATGGAAATAGCTGTAATACTAATCTCAGTGACTGCTTACAGTACTGAAAATTGCATATTGGACATGGTGCTCATACTATGTTGAGATCTAATGAAGGATGAACAAACTTCAGGTGAGAGCATTGCCTCTAAGTAGGCAGCAGTTCCTCATGGCTGTAAGTAAGTGACCAAGTTTATTGGCTGGGTCATGATGAATAGTCATGATGACATCTGGCATGCAGCTTCATTACATCACGAAAACAAACTCTTCCAAGTGGCCCAAGCTGATAACAGCTGACTAGTTTCTCCTGGTTTTGCACTAAAAGCACCTCTAGAGAAAGTATTTGGAAGAAGGGAAGGAAGTTGCCGTGATTCTTAAAACACACAATCCATGTAAAATTTCTGCTTAGAAGCTGCATGTTAAAAAAAAGTTGATGTAAGTGAAGAAGGGCAATTTGGGGCTCTGTAGAGAAATAAAGGCCTGAAGCATGCAGGACTGATCTCAAGCCCTCTCATCTTGCTTTCCAGTTCCTGGAAGCACTATTCTCAAGTCACCTGCTTACATAAGCTGTGCAGCTTCTGGTGATCCCAGTTCACTAAAGAAATGACCTAATGATCACACACCCTCTGGGACCTCTGACTTTCTAGTCAAGCAGTGCACGAAAGTACTTGTGACACATGGGCAGGTATCTGAACACGATATGCTATAAGCAATCAGTTCCCTGATTTATGATTCAGAAGGGTCAGCCCACTGCTTAGGCTGTACTGCAGTGTGGACCTTCAGTCCGTAACTGTGTACTGATTATAAGCAATATTATTCTGGCATAGCTAATGTTACATCTTCAGAGATGGGAAGCCTAAAAATAGCCCAGTGGCAGTGACTTGGATTAGAAGTTGTGCCTTAAAGACAGCAGACCTGTGTACTCTTTCCTCAGTTTACCTGCTGAGGCAGAAGTGTAGGAAAAGAGCAACAGTGGCACAACTTTCAGAGTAACTTGCTCCCAACCAAGCAGTGCTAATGCACTGGCTGTTGAATAACAAATATAACAAAATAAATTGGTTTGTTTACAGCAAGTCATAATTCAAGACTTTTAAGCTTCCTCATTAATATTTACAATTACAGGAAGAATTGGGCAGTGTATTTGATTACAACTACTGAAAGTCTCCCAAGGGGTGCTAGCTGCAAAGTCAGTATGGTATTTTCATTTCCCTAGGTCTATTCATAATTTTGGAGTTCTACTACGATCAGATATCTGCAAAAGTGTCAGATTTACTTGGGACTCTGTCTTAGATTTCAACATTATCTCTAGCTCAGCAGCAACAAAGGAAAAGGAAATAATTAAGAGACTCATCCACCAGCAGAAATTACCAGTACATTTAGTAATGTCTCTAGAGCCGTATATCGTAGTCACAATTCACTTCTGCCAGGTTCTGTAGCTAAAACACAATATTTTAACATTCTTGTTATGGAATAAATTAATTTCTGACCGACTTCTTCCTTTTATAAGTTCATCATACACATGACCAGAAGACAGTGATACAGTGCCTACTACTGTGAGAATTTCCCATTTGAATTTCAGGTTTTCGGTGAACTCTGAGAAGTTTTCCGGGAAACTTACATAGAGAACACATTGTAAGTATATTACAAAATCTTCTTTTATGTTCTTGAGGCTTTCTTGAGCAAACTCACTTCCTGTGGTTTTACAGCTCTGGGAAGTTACTGTTTACTTCTATCTTTCAAAGTGAATTAAATTACTTACTTGTCCTTAAAGCAGACTATAACATAAAGTGTTTAATATGATAAAATAAGTACCCTTAATGAGACAGTCCTTTGCTATAAAGTTCCTAAAATAAGGTGCATTATTATAGTTTAACAGTTACCAGCACCATTTGCTTCACTCATATGTGGAAGGTCAGGTCCCAGGATACAGGGGTGGATGAACTTGCATTTGTAGTTTTATTCCTAGTGACACTTTCATCATCATTAATTTGTGCTTTTATTTAAAGTTCTTGAAATGTTAAAGATGAAACCCTACGAATACTTAAATTTTCACAATTATTAAAAGAAAGCAAAACTGCAAAAACTGAAGGAGAAGAAAAACCAAGTAATAATTGGAAGAAGTTCACTGTTCGCTTTCTACATATAAGTCCAAGAAAACATTCCAAAAACTGCAAGGAAACAGGACAGAAGGCTTTCTTTTATCCAAGAGAAAAAAATAATGGAATTTTAGCAAACAGAAAAATGTTCATAGACACGGCAATGCTCATTTGTGAATTTTCTTTCTGTACATCATTTCTACCAACATGAAGGCGATTCACTTCAGGGACTGACTGACCCTTTAGAACTGTATTCTGGAATGTAACAGCTGTCATAGTACAGCCTTTGAATTTCTTGGGCTATGAGAACTGAAACAGAAGATCTGCAGGCAATTGCTTAGGAAGATTACTATTACTAAAGAGATCTTGTAAGAGCAGAGAAGAAAACATTTTCTTCTGTGAAGATACATTAGTCATGTAAATTGCACATAGATTATTTTTGTTTGAAAAGTTCAACTTTTACTTTACATCCTTACTATGCTAAAGAACATAGATGGGCTATCATTTTTAAAAATACCATTTTTCCTTTTAGATTTTTAGTTTTTCATGGATATAGGAAGAAGCTTTATACTACATCTTCTGGTATGCACACACATAATGTAACAAATTTACATTTTGAGGGAAGAGCCTTTTATTTGGGTGAAAATATTTTACATCAAAATGTTGAATATTCTGATATCTATTTGTTGTTACTTGTGATCAACAGTATTCACACTACATATTTTTGGAACCAAATAAATAACAATTACTTTCAAGGAGTTTTATCCAAAAATGCATTTTAGCTTTCTTACCTATTTTTACGATACTATTACTACCTGTATTTTTTATTGCAAGAACTCATTCTGCATATTCTGACGAGCAGGAGTCCAACAGACATTAATACCTAGAACTGCTGTGCAATTTGCTTCAGTGTCATTAGTTATGAGCTTGAATATTCTTAATGACTGGATCTACTTCTTTGTGTGCAATTACTCACGTCTTGAA